CCCTGCCTGCCCGGCCTGCAGCTCTGCCGGGCATGTAGTGGGAAATTTGGGTCACAGCGGAGGGGGATGCTTTTATGTAATTTGGGTTGCAAAAGGAAAAAAAACCCAATTGGGACCCAATTCTGAGCTGCCTGCTGCTGCGGGGCCAAACCCATGAAGAGCTGCTCATACCCTGCTCTGGCCCCAGAGCTGCCCCTGCCCCTTTCCCCGTACCGGTCGTAGTCGCCGTTGCAGAGGGTGCGCACAGGGATGGTGAAGGGCTGCCACACCGGGTTGAGTGTGTTCTTCACCACCTCTGTCTTATGGCAGATGGTGAAGCTGGGGGGACAGGGCAGGGGTGCGGCGTGCCATACAGTGACACCGGCACCCTGCCCACCCTGCTGGGCCCCTGCGCTCACGTGCCGTCCTCATTGCTGCGGTAGAAGACGAGGAAGGGGTCAGATTTTCCAAAGAAGTCCTTCTTGTCCAGCTTGTTGGCACACAGCTGCATCGTGATGATGTCCTGGGGACAGGGACTTTTTGCCAGTCACCTCCTCATCCCCAGTCCCAGCAGCCACCGTGCTGGGGGGCCATGCAGACCCTCCTCACTGCAACCAGGATGTGACACTCACCCGACAGTTGCTCAGTTCCTCAGCCAGCAGCAGGATGGTCCCACACCGCTTCCCTGGGACCCCCCTGGGACCAGAGGCACCCAGTCAGCTTGGGGACAAGGAGGACAGGCCAGGGGCAGGAGGTGGGTTTGGGGATGGGGCTTCTCCCCACATTAGTGCTTGGCAGCATGGCTGGTGTGCCCATCAGGGGATGTGCAGGGGGGGTCCCATGGGACAGGTGGCTGCAGACACAGTGTGGGATCCCTGCCTCACTCCACCACAGGGCATGACTCACGTGAGGGGTCTCTCCAAGCGGCCTCGCTGGGATCCAATCACCTCTCCCAGCGCCACAAACGCCTGCCCCAGGAGGTCCTGTGCCCCAAACACAGTGCTGTGAGACCCTGTGAGGCTCTTGCCTCAGCCTCCCAGCACCCACACCCATCCCTTACCCTTCCAATACACCCATGGGACCTGCCATCAACTTGTCTCAGAGCCACCCTAAGTGTCCTGAACCTATCTTGTGTCCCAAAAACCAACTCCTAGCCCAGGAACCATCGTGCACCCTCAAGACCACCTCAAGTGCCCTCTGCATGTTCCCTGCACTCACTCTGTGCCCCCAGGGCTAGCACACAGCCCTGGACTCACGCCATACACTCCCAGAACTGCTCTATATGCTCTGGACCCATCCTGGACCACTCACACCACCCCAATGGTGTATCCTGGCCCCATCCTGCCCCACCAGGCACCCCCATAAGGGCTGGTTTCCCAGGGCAGAGCAGGGCCTGGTGTGTGTTGGGCACCTACCTTCTGCCAGTCCCCATGGGGCATGGAGAGATGGAGAGTGGGTTAGAGACCTCTGAGGGACATCTGTCCCCCCTGACAGCACCCCCACAGGGCACAGCCTCGGGGTGTCCCACCACGTGTCCCCCCAGCACAGGCTGTGCTCACCTGCTTTAAAGCAGAGCAGGTCTTGGAGTCCACGTTGTAGCTGGTGTGAGAGAGCAGAGCCCTGAGCTGGTGCCTGCAGGAGTGCCCCAGCACACAGCTCTGCTTCCCCACCCAAAATGGCTTTTTGCCATTGTATCCTTATTTATCACCCTTATTTATTCCCCTTATTTGTTATTCTTAATTATTACTGACTCCATGCTTCATTCCACGGAAGTGGCGCCAAGCTCTTCCCTGGCCACCCTACTCACACATCAAAGCGGAGGTTTTGCTTCTCCTCAAAGTAGTAGTCAAGAACGAACTTGCGGACAAAGTCGGGGTTCAGGGTGTTGTCGATCACCTCGGTGCGTCCAAACTGCAGGGAGAGGGGTGAGGGTGGCTCCCCCCAGGATCCCTCCCCACCACAGCTGCCTCAGCGCTAATCCCGGTGGGGGATTAGGGCTGCCGGGGCCGGATCATTAGCATGGACACGGGTGGCCATATGGGCCCGTTTAACTCAGCCGGGGATTAGCCAGGAGTGGGGGCTGCACTCACCTCCTTCCACTCGCTGCTCCCCGCGCCCTGCACATAGAGGGCCACCACCGCCGAGAGAGGAGC